TCTTCGAGTTAAAAGGAATTCCTAGATTCATGGTATGGCCTTGGGTCTCCCGTAGGCTCTTACACACTTGGTCGGTATGACCTTTTAGTATAAGTCGGCGTCTGAGCTCTTATGCTTTTTCTCTTAGGCATATTTAGTTAACTTTTTTGGGTTCAATCTCTGAGTCGGGTATCGACTCGAGCTCATTCGACCGTCAAGTTTTTGAATTTAAAGCTTGCCCTTAGGCTCTTACGCATCGGGTCGGCACAACCTCTTGTACGGGCTGGCGATAATGGTTCTTATGCGTTGGGTCAGTACAACCTCTTGTATGTGATGGCGACAGTGGCTCTTACGCATTGGGTCGGACGACCTCTTATATAGGCTTTATTTTTCCCTCGTTAAGGACTTTTTGAAATTGTGTTTGCCTCGCTCTTCGACGGTTCTATAGAAACCTCGATTGTGAGTCATTATATGGCGATGATCGAGCACCTCGAGATGTTTGGCTCGGTGGCTGAGTAAGGTCTTACAGTTTTGGCTACTTGGTAAAAGTATGGTTCATGCCTTGCTTGAGGTCTTACAGATATTGTCACTTAGTACAAGTATGGTTCATGTCTTGCTTGAGGTCTTACAGATATTGTTATTGCCTTATATAGATCTTACGAGACCGAGGCTGCCTGCATGTGATCTTGTCGCCTCAGGTTTTGATAAGTCGATGGGGGTGGCGATTGGCGGCAGTCCTGAGTCATCGTGGGTTTCTTGGCTCGGGATCCATTACTTATAAACTCAGTATTACCTCATTGATGGCTTACGATTTCGGGGTTTCTAACCCGAAGGTCATGTGGCCTTGAGTTTTTGACGCTAGTCCCCGAGTGTTCGGAATGTTTTTGGCTCTAGAGCTGTTTTGTGATCTTAATGTTGCCTCATTGAGGTCTTACGAGTTTGAAGATCCAACCCGGGGTTTGCATTGTTTTGAGTTGTTGACGCCAGTTCCTGAGTGTTCGGGATGTTTTTGACAGAGGAGCCATTTTTGTAAAAAAAATTAAGCTTCTTTGAAACGCAAAATGCTTTTGGAAAGTATTCTTTGATTACTTGGTACAAGTATACATGTCTTTGCTGTTAAGGTCTTAGTTATCCTACACTGACATGGTTCGTTCGACTGTTTGGCCCGGTACATTATTTTCCTTTCAAGACCCCATTTAACGCATTTTGTCTTCTCCGAGTAGGTGACCTTCCGAGGGAATGCCCCCAGTATTCGAGGTTGATTGCAAAAGAAGCCTTGAATACTTGTTGAGTTTTCCTTAGGTAGCATATAGATGTTTCCTCGTTAAAAACCTTACCTGATAAAACCCTTGTCGGGATAAAAACCCGGTCAAAGGAAAAGAGTGCAACGTATACTTTGAAACCTTATGGTCTTTGACCTGGATTAGCGCTTCGACTGTCTCAGTTGGACACCTATATAAAGGTTAGTGTGAAGTGTAAATTAAAAGGGAGATGGTTATATCTTAGTGGCGATGGCGCTTTGAGCCTCGGTAGGCCTTCAGTATTTGCTCTAAGGACACGGTACGGTCCTTTATTTGTTCATTCAGGTATAGCCGAGAACATGTCTTGTGGTTTCTATTTCACTATTTGTTTGTCCTGCAGTTTCTTCAGTGTCGAAGATGTCGGTGTCGGTGCCACGTCGTGCACTGCGAACATCTCCCTTGCTGCATGTTGTTCCCCGTACATGATTTTTATTCTGTCCTTTATTGGAAACTTCATCATTTGATGAAGGGTTGATGGTATTGCTCTCATGCAGTGTATCCATGGCCATCCAGCAAAGCGTTGTACCTCATGTCTCCTTCGATGATGTGGAATTTGGCATTTTGGATAGTGCCGGCTACATTGACCGGGAGGGTGATCTCCCATTTGGTTGTCTCGCTCACCATATTGAATCCATTAAGGACTCGAGAGGTGGGCACAATTTGGCCGAGCAGTCCGAGATGCTCCACGACCCTCGACCTGATGATGTTGACCGAGCTACCTAGATCCACAAGTACACGTTTAATTTGAAATGTATTCACAAGGAAGGAAATTACTAGTGCGTCGTTGTGAGGCTGAGACAAGGTTTCGATGTCCTTGTCGCTAAATGTGAGGGCGTCCTCGGGTACGTAACCTCGAATTCGCTTTTCTTTGGTGATGGATATTTTCTTTCTTCTGATAGTGGGTTCTTGTGGGGTGTCGACCCCTCCCATGATCATGTGGATAACATGTTGTGGCTCATATGCTTCGTTCTTTTTGATCGCCTCTCTATACAGAACTAATTTTTAGCCCGGTCGCTGAGGAATTCCCGGAGGTGACCTTTGTTAAGTAGTCGGGCTACCTATTCCCGGAGTTGCCGGCAATCTTTGGTCTTGTGACCGTGTGTGTTGTGAAATTCACACACTAAGTTATGGTTACTTTGTGAAGGATTTGATTGTACAGGCCTTGGCTACCTGGTGTCTCTGATTTTACTGATGGCAAACACGATATCTGAAATATCGACGTTGAAGTTGTATTCCGACAAGCGGGGTGCCTCCGTCGGCCCTGCGTGCCTATCGAACCCGGCTCTGTTGACGAGTCCCCGAGGGTTCTGCCCTCAGTCCGTTCTTCGATCATTCCAGGGTATGTTATGCCTCGGGGCGTTTCTCCTGTCTTCGGTGTATGGCTGGTACCGTTCTTTGTTTGGCTTTGGATCTTTCGCCATAAGACTGCTTGGGTATACCGAGCCCGAGGGGCTCCTAATTGGTCATCCTCGACCCTAATTTTCGATTGATATCGGTTGTGAACATCCGACCAAGTCATGGCGGGTATTCAACCAAATTCTAGTTCAGCTATTTCGAAGCCACCGAGCTTTGTTCGTTCAAATCTTAAGTGAAGGCCTGCACTGCCCAGTCGTCGAAAACTGGTGGTAGTTCCATTTGTTCTAGTTGAAAGCTAGATACAAACCCTCGCAGCATCTCATTCTCCCTCTGCTTGATCTTGAAGACGTCGTATTTCCTTGTTGCTTCTTTGATGGCACCAACATGTGCCTTTATGAAAGAATCTGGCAGCATGACAAATGAATCTATCAAGTTTGGGGCCAGGTTATGATGCCACATCATTGTCCCCTTCGAAAGAGTTTCTTCGAATTTTTTCTGTAGGACAGAGTCTATCTCGTCACCCTTTAGGTCGTTGCCCTTCACTGCACAAGTGTAAGCAGTAACGTGTTCATTAGGATCTGAGGCTCCGTTGTACTTCGGAAGGTCTGGCATTCTGAACTTCTTTGGAATGGGTCTGTATGAATTTCTTCGAATCCACATCTTTCAGGATCGGGGGTGCGCTCGAAATTTGGTCGACGCTGGAATTGTAGGTCTCGACCTTCTTATCGTTGGCTTCTATCTTCTTCTCGCCCGACTTGATCCTCCTTGTGTGATCCTCGAGCATCTTTATGATGGAGGGGTCGGCTGCCGACCCGTTGTTGCTTGATCTTTCTGGTACCTGTTCGGTCCGAAGGGTCGTTCCCGAGGCCGCCGTACTTGGGGTTTTTTGGTGGCTCTGCAGCTGAGCGATTTCCAGCTGTTGTGTCTACAGCTGTTTTTTGGACTTCTTGTTGATCTCCTTTATGTACGCTCCTATTAGTGTGGGAGCTTATATCGACGTGTTGGGCATCGCGTGAGACCGCGTCCACGGGAATTGGTTCTGGTGCATTCTCAGGGTTTCGTGGTGGTATACCAGCACCTGGAACATCCACACCGTTCTCTTCGTGGTCTTCAAGATTGTTGTTTTCATGTGCATTTACTGAGTTAGACATTTTGACATGAAATCAAAGATCTTGGACAAGAAAAAGTGCAAAAAGTAACTTGCGTTATGTAGTTAAACCAGCAAGAAAATAATCACTATTATTTTTAGCCCCACGGTGGGCGCCAAACTGTGTATCGTGAAAATGGTAATAATAATTGAATTTGATTTTGTGGTTCTAAAAATACATGATCTATTCTTATGCTACTTGTTAGGCAGTGGATGCTAAGTATAAGATTAGGAGGCAAAATTATAGCTTAAAAAATGATGTAATAATCAAACCGAATGGTTGAAAATCTGGGCCTCGAGCCAGATGGCCGGCTTAAAGCACTCGATGGAGGAATAACAGTTATGAGAACTACGATGATGGCTCTTGTCACACCTTCTTTTTACCTACCCCGGAAGGGAGTATAAGGGAGTTTTTTCTAACTTTAAGTGACAATCGAAACGGGATTATTTATTTATTAAATTCAGAGTCGCCACTTGGGATAGTTTATGGTGTCCCAAGTCACCTATTCAAATCCTGAATCAAGGAAAAGATTGACTCTGTTTTACAGTCCGCGAACACAGAAATCCAGGTAAGGAATTTTGTTAACACGGGAGAAGGTATTAGGCATTCCCGGATTCCATGGTTCTAACACGGTCGCTCAACTGTTATTATTGGCCTATTATCTGATTTTAACACATGTTTTAGCCTATGGTACAATTTTAACTTATTAACCGCTTTTAATCATCTTTCAGGAGGATTGCAATGTCATTTAAAATACGTTTTGAACCACGTCACATAAATGCACTTGCGGTACTCGACATATTTTATCTAACATTGTTGAGATTTGGATTTGGGTCACATAAATGCGCACCCGAGTTTAGGAAGGTAATTTTAAGATAGAGCGCCTACAGCAACTACGCATTTTTAACAACCAAGTTATAACACATACTACTAAATACTAATAGCTCCTATTCTAATATGACATTCTTTCAAAAAAATGTTTCCATTTTACGCATTCAATCTATTAATACATCATCTTAAAGTAATGGCACCTAATAGTCCATCAAACTCAATCTCAATATTCAGGCTTCCAGACTAGTCAAATTGGACGATGGAAATAAAATAGCTAAGACAACTTCAAGTGAGAATGCTCGCCTGTGTATCCACAACATTGCAACTTTATACCAAACTGAAAATATGATGCCTCACTATTGTGCAATTTTATCCACAAAAGATATTACTGCAACGAATCGACTTTATCAACAATAATCATAGAAGTTAACATAGAAGCAACATAGATGACATTATTCAGTAGCACTAAACGTAACCACTAAAATATCAGTAACAGAACTTATCCATTTATGATTATTGAAGGAAACAAAAGAACTACAATGAGAGTAAAAGTGAACCTTAGAGCAGCAAAATGCTTTTAAGAATTTGATTACTGATAGGTCTCCAATCGAATGTCCATCGGACCTCAACGGAAAATCAGCCACCAAAAAACCAACAAACTGAAATTCGACAAAACTCAAACTCGACCGCGACACACCTCGAACCTGTATCCAAAACGACAATCTTCCAATGCTCAAGCGAATACCATGATTTAAAAAAAAAACAAAACTGAAATAAGAAACGAAGAAAAACAAGATATATATTCAGTTTTTTTCCTCTTTTTTGTTCTCTATTAGCTCTATGTTTCCCTCCGCCTCACGACCTGTGTGCGTGTGTATCTGGCAGCTGGTGGTCGATTTTAGTGGGAGTGCTGCCGGCGGCGATGACGGCTGTGGCGTCGTGCGTCTGGTTTCCGGCAGAGTTGGAGCTGTGGGGTTCAGGCGATGGGTCAGGTCAGAGGTCGTGTTTATGGGGTGGTCGACCGGTGGTGAATTCCGGTGATGAACAGAGATAGAGAGCTTTGGGCGTTCTCTTGCGGGTTGATTTCTGGGAGGGGGGTCACTAAGGAGATGAAATTCAGAGATGGGTCTCCTCATTTGCACTGTTGCGGCTCATCAGTGTGCAGTGTCCCCCTGATTTTTTAGGGTGTAGGTACTATTATATAGGAATAGGAATTAGGTTAGGGGTATGGGCCTAAGAATTATGGTCTTGGGAATTATGGGTTAGGTCCAAAATTAGACCTAAAAATGGGTTGCTCGAGCCCAAGTTTTATTCTTTCCCTGCGAACGAGATTAAAACGATCTCATTTATTAATTATTCCTACTTAAGTAAAATAACTATTAAAATAAGACTGACCGTTAAAATAAACTTTTTTTTTTGGTATTTTTTCAAGATTAAAAATGACTACAAAATATTAATGAAAATATTTTTTGTAATTTTTATTTTTTTGTAATAAAATAAAGTAACAAAGTAAAAATTAGTTGAAATAGCTATATTAGGCCTAAATTAAATATTTATATGCTAAAATATAAAAAATCTTGGGGAGGGTCAAAAATCACATGTCTACAGCTGCCCCTTTTTGACTGGAAACACGAAGAGTTTTCAGACAAAGAACGACTAGACAGGTTTTTTGACCCGACCCTTATTTGGAGAGACTAAAACTAGGGGAATGCGACCAAGCCCTGGTATCTGAGCTGCCTACATATCCTTGGCTATAAAGGAATCAAGCCACGTGTAGTTCAGAAGTGAATGAGGTGATGGAGTACCAAGGTGGAGAGCCGGTAGAGGTGCCGTTCCGCTGATGTTTCGGTCCGCGGTCCCGTTATTACATCAAAATCAAAAATAAAAAAGACTAACTAAGCCTATCATCTATGAGTTACAATATTCCTATTTAAGAGTCTTCTGAAGCTTGATCTTGAGTCTTGGTTGGTTCTTCATGCGGACACTGATCTGAATCTTGATACTTGCTAGCTGTAGGTGTCGGTTTATTCCTCTTCGGATCAAGACCGGACATACTGTGCTTGTGACTTCAGTCATGTCTTAAGCAGCTCACATCTTTCATCAACTTCTGCATTTGGATTCACTTCTTGCCTTTTTTTTAATTCTGGATTGTGACTAACTTCCGTTGATCATCTCGGATTGTTGACTCGCATTCTTCTCGCACGCTTCTTTTGTTGCTGACTTGAATTGCATTTTGAAGTGAATTCCATTGTTTTCCAGGTGGGTGCCTGATTGCCAAAACTTGAACTGTCTTCCTTCGAAACTTGAACCGTTTTCCCTTGTTCTCCAGGTGGGCGCCTGATTGCTGAACTTGAACTGTCTGCCTTCGAAACTGCTTTTCCTTTAAACTTGAACTGTCTTCCCTTGTTCTCCAGGTGGGCGCCTGATACTACAGCAAAACAGACAACAAAAGAAATTTTTCTGCCCCAGTTTGCACTAGGAAGATTTGTGAGTTGTTAGCAAAACTATAAATCACCTACGCTGCTGATGAAGGATGCAATGATGAGAGTAAAATTAATGACTCGACTAGGATGTGCGTCTCCTAAATGTGATTGAGCTTGCGAAAAACAATAAACTAAGCTTGACTTAAGTAAAGACTGACCCTATTCTCCAGGCAGAGCCCCTGATTTCAAGAAAACTAAACATTGATAACTTAAGAAAACTAAATATTGATCCTTTTTTTTCAAATCCAGACTTCCTTTTTTTCAAAATATCCTAGGAGAAAATTCATCAGACTAGGTTTTCTATCTTAGGAGAAAGATTCATCAGATTAAGATTTTGATTCTAGGAGAAAATTCATCAGACTAAGTCACTTTTTTTTGGTATCTTAGGAGAAAGATTCATCAGACTAAGATTTCTATCATAGGAGAAAGTTCATCAGACTAGGTCTTCTATCTTAGGAGAAAAATTCATCAGACTAAGATTTTGATCCTAGGAGAAAAGTCATCAGACTAGGTCTTCTAATTTATTATCTTAGGAGAAAGATTCATCCGACTAAGATTTTGATCGGGAGAAAAATCCATCAGACTAGGACTTTTTATCCTATGAGAAAAAAATGTAAAGATCAATGGCAAGATTTTATGCACAATAGCAAGACAAATAAAGGCAAAGATTTGAGAAACTTCCATTTGTAGTCTCTTCTCTTCTTTTCTTTTTCTTCTCTTTTTTTTTGTTGTTTTTTTCTTTTTTTCAATTTTTTTCTCTTTTTGAATCACTTTCCTTGCACCGCTTTGTTCCTGTTTCACACAAAGAAAAATTTGTCAGTTTTGAAAATGGTGGTCGGTTTGTGGCCTTGAGTCTTGGGCAGCTTGGCTTCTGCTCAATCAGCTTGAGTCGGCTTCAAGAGACTTTTGCTCTGCATCAACCCTAATTGTTTCACACCTAGTATCATTTGTACTTGCGGCTCAATCATCCTTATCTCAACTGGAGATCTTTGTCTAGGTGACCCTTTCCGATATCTTGAATGACTTTCTGCTTTTTGAGCAATTTGTTTATCAAAGAGAATCACCAGTTATCTTTCTTGCGCTAAGTAGGCTGAGAAGAGTCTTTTTGGGGAAGCCTTTGTATGAATCCTCAAGGCATGTTGACAGTAACAATTGAGTGTGCTGGCCAAATTTACTGTATGCAACTGAAAAGCTGGTAGCAGATTTTGAAATCTTTTCTTGCTTGTTTTGACAAGGACTGACTCAGAGTGGAGGACACAATGGTGCAAAGAAACAAGTATTAACAAGAAATGCCCCTGTCGGAAGGACAGAAGAAAGAATTGTTTTTTCTTTTTTTTTCAATAACTAGCTTTAATGATCATGACATGCATTTTGGATTCAACGGCCTGATCTATCAAACTAATCCAATCTTCCCTTTTACCATTCTTATGATCTTTGAAGCCGGGCCTATCCATGCCAATCCTTTGCATCAGTTTCACGACTCACTTTCGACTAATGGTGCCCTGAGGAATTTTCACCAACAAGCCTCTCTCATTTATTCATCTCTACTTACCGTTTCCTTATTGTGCCCGTGAGGGTTTTCACTAGTAAGACTCTCTCATTTATCTTTTTCTTTTTCTTTTTCTTTTTCTTACATTTTGTGAGTAACTTGACAGTGTTATATGTCGTGCGACAACAGTTACTCATTGCATGCTTCTCTTGGCATTCTTGAAGGCATATCAAGAGGTCTTTATTTGGAAGGTTTTTGGATAGGGTTGGACGAAAGGTCGACATGAGGCTCAAAACAGACTAAAGATGACGGGGTTGTATACTTACAACTTTTGGAATCGACTCTTTTAAAAATGAAATAAAATCTTTGCCCCAGTTTCAGATACTGAGGGTTTTGAATTTTTCTTTTTATTCTAAATTCTTATTTGGTTGGACCGAACCGTGAGGCTACCTATGTATTCTTTTTTAAGGAATCAGATCGAACGTAGTTCAAACATCTGACCTAACTAAATTTTTTTCATCTTTCTTTCTGTATCTCCTTTTTTCTCTTTCTTTTTTTTCGTCTCTTTTTTTTTCTTTTCAAGTTGCCCCAGCTTCTATTTTTTGAGGGCATGGACCTTTGACAATTCTTTTCTCTCTTTTTTTCACTTAGAACTTTCTAAAAGCTGCCCCAGTTTGTACTCCTGGGGCATGAACTTTTATTGTTATTTTATTTTTTTATTTTTTTTACTTTTGACTCTAAACTTGATTCCAAAAGAGGGTGGTCAAAGAAAATAACACAGGCTCAAAGGGGTGACAAAGGTATAAAGTGTTTGGGTAGCAGAAAAAGTGCCTCCCAGCCTCGAGAATGCCAAACATATTATAAAGTGTTTGGGTAGCAGAAAAAGTGCCTCCCAGCCTCGAGAATGCCAAACATATTATAAAGTGTTTGGGTAGCAGAAAAAGTGTCTCCCAGCCTCGAGAATGCCAAACATATTATAAAGTGTTTGGGTAGCAGAAAAAGTGCCTCCCAGCCTCGAGAATGCCAAACATATTATAAAGTGTTTGGGTAGCAGAAAAAGTGCCTCCCAGCCTCGAGAATGCCAAACATATTAGCCTTTCACAATCACGACATTTATGGACCTGTTGCTTTCTGGGTCTTTTTCAGTGTAAAGCTGTATGAGCAATACTTTCTTTGCAGTGAATGCCCCTTGTCAATTCGGGTGACTTTTCTTGGATTTTGTCTTGATAAAGAAGATGCATTTTGCCACTGATTAATCCATTTTAAGTTGTCTGGAATAGACCATCTTGTGAAAAATACTTTCTATCTCTTAGTGCTAAACAAATTTCAACTCGTCCGATCATCCTTAAGCCCGATCTTCTCAAATGATTCAAAAAGTAGAGATCCTTAACTTCTATGAGCATGACTGCTTTGGTTCCATGTAAACTGGGCTCATGCTTTTTTCGAATTATTTCATGTCTCTATTCATCTTCAAAAGTGTCTCTTTCTCACTTATCCAATTCAAGACTAAATAAGTTTTCTACGATCTGGCCAAAAATTCTTCATACATTTCATGTCACCAAAAACTAGCATGAATAGAACTATGCACAAAATGGACACAAAATGGCTGACTTCTTTTTATTGAATAAAGGATAGCAGGGTCCGATAACACAAAAGAAGAAGAAAAAATGACAAAATAAGCTACCATGGCTAAAAGAGGAGTGACTTTCCAGGTACTAAGTAACATCTTAGCCACACATTCGCACATCAACATTACTACGGCATTTAACCATTTTGATTGCTTTGGATTCAACACTCAAATTTTGACGATCATCCTGAGCTGCCCATGTCCTATTGCTCAAATCTGGTAAAGTCAACCTCACATTTGCATACGTATCTCACATCCGGTGAGAATCAGACCCACTTAGTTATCCCGTTTTGACGCAACAGAAAAATATGACTTATTTTGAAATGGCTTTTCTTTTTTTTTTTTTCAAAATTTCAACAGAATTTTTGGGTAATTCAAATACCTACCTCTCACTCTCTTTTCTTTTTTCTTCTTTCTCTCTTTTTTTGATTTTTTTTCTCTTTTTTTTTCATTTTCTTTCCCTATTTTAGAAGCCAGTCAACATGCAAGCCGAAACAGACAGATACACAAGTAGCACGTAAGATGCATCAGGATGGTCTTTTAATTTGGGTACACATGTCCTAGACGGACC